TTTAACACAAATTTGAATTTTCATTTGTGATGGGCCCAACTCAAACTCAAGAAGAAAAAGTAATGGATTCCTTCATTGGTAAGATTAGGGTAAAATAGACAATGAAGGGGTAAAACTTTTTCAGTGAGAGAAATGGAAAATGTAAACAAAAGGAAAAGAAAAAGGTAAAAGAGAATCTAAACAATTATTACCTTTCTAGAAAGAACTCAGACAGTATGAATAATGATCCAGTTTTTTCTTCATTTTTTTCCAAACTATCAATCGATGTACTCGGAGAAATTATGTTCGAGTCGATTTGTTCAAGATTGATTTAGAAAGTTTGGCTTTCATTTTTAAAGATTATGTTTTCAATGAGTAATTAGATTGGATTTCGTCCCAATTTCCGATTTTCAATTGAATCAGCCGATTTGTTCGTATTATCGATTACTAGTAAACCACTTCCCTCTCTTGATTAATAATTTGATAAAAGTAATGCCTAAGAACTTGGGACAATCATGAAAAAGTAGAATTTTCTTTAACAAATTTATGAAAATCAAGATTGTGTATTCTAACATACAATCTCTCGATTTAACATTTAAAAAATATCATATTATCTTATTGTCATTAACAAATATGAAACTAATTCAATCATGTCAATCCATACATCTTATAAAAGAAAATCTAAAATAATGAATTAAAATGCAATAAAAGACAATTAACAAATAATTTAGCCAATAAATTTGATGAAGAAAATCAGGGCAAGAAGAATGTGACATATATATAAACTGGTAAATTAACAATAAGAGAAAAGGATGAATATCTTCAATATTTATCAATTTCAAGGGTCCAAACATCTTCATGCTTGAATTTCCTTTATTTCTTAACTTCTCTATTTGATTTCTCCTACAAGATTGATATGTCAATGTCTTTGTTTCAATCTTACCATGGTGTTCTCTTAAGAGATTATGCTAGATGTACACAATGAGTTACACAATGGATTACACCCCCCTCATATGGAGGGGGGGGGGGGGGCCCATACACAA